CAGATATTCTGAATTGTCCATCAAACTCAAATAAATGTACACATTTATGAGATAGGGTTATGAATAAACAGCCAATTGACATTTCCTTTTGACTTTTCCTTTCGACTATATCAAATTTCTTGGAATTTCTTGGCCTACAAACATTGAAAGATAAGCGATACAATTCATACAGACGGCTTGATTTTAGATTGTTGGGCCTTAGAAATAGCTAATAAGCTTCCATATCTGACTTATCAAATATTACTATGTTTGCAGTGATAAAGTAGTCAGAATCACTTGACCATATCACACATATATAGTATAGACTTATAGACTTAGAATTATTCCAATGCTCAGACAACATCAGAATTGGCCAACGTTTGCATATACTCGTATATAGCTTAGAAAATTTCAATTTCAATAGTGTTCTACATTTTCTCAAGTAATACGGACGCAGAAGATACCTTCCAAAGTTGCTCGGCTGGCTTTTATTTGTTTCGCTCTGCAGAAGCAACGTCGAGTAACCGATTGTACTATATGAAGAAAGTATTGTGTAATTTACTACACATAGCCACCCGCCTAAATACATATAAAAGTATATAATATGTAGGTATATATATACAAGTACATACATAGTACTTGCATATGTATTTCTGTCTGTTTATATGCATTGCGTATGCGTCTGTGTGTATGTCAAATGGTAGGCAGCGCTGTTGCTGTCAGCTGCGACGTCGACGGTGCTCGCTACATAAATCAAAAGAAAAAGCATTTTACTGTTTGGCCAGAAACTGCCACTGATCTTCCGTAGCTAGGCAGGCAGGCAGTCGGTCAAAAGAACAGCCAACATATAGAGCTATCGAGTCAGCTAACCATCCACCCTCGCCTCCTCGCCTCCTCGCATCCCCACCCTCATGAATGTCCGCGTTTAGAAAATTTGTTTTGTATGCTGATTGTTGATTGCTATTGCTTCTACCATCGTTGTTGTTATTGCTCTTAGCATTAGCATTTTGTACGCATGTTCAGACATTTAACATTTATTTTCATGCCGAAATACACACAAACATACATACATACATATAACAGATATAGAGGCAAGACAGATATTTTGTATTTTGTATTTGTTGCCACCGTCGCCATTTGACAGGCCAAAACATTCATAGGAATATTTCAAATTGCAGACATCAGCGACGACGGCGACAGAAACGTCGGCAGCGTCAAATATATATGTATATATAAATAATTATCTACCTATATAAAAGACAAAATGTGAAATGGAAATGCTATAGTAAGTCTTAAAGAACAAATTAACAAGAGCATCACAAACATAACCCATCCATATACCGAAGCTGTAATGCCCTCCACAAGCTACTTACGATCATTCAAAACTTGGACTGTATACTCATGATGACCCCAACATATTTATTTATGGCTCAATCCATTGAGCTTGACTATTTCTTAGTTACCAATAAAGCAGATATCTGGTACAATAATAATAATAATAAATTACTATATTTATAAACATAGCTGGGTGCTAAGAAATTGTATTTATACTTGTAGTGTACAAGTAAACAGCACTATTGGATATCGATAGGTAGTAAACCTATTTTTGTACATAAATAGTGGCCAACAATTTTTACGATGTGAAAAAAAGGTTCTTGTGTGTAGTCATAGAGCAGAATTACCACTCTTTACATTTGATCATTCCAAATCGTTTCATTTCGTTATCTTCGTCTCGTAATATTTTAAAAAATTCACTTGCCACCATGTGTTACAAGACTTCTGGTCAAACGCATTGTAGACTTTAGTGAAGGGTATGCAAAAAAGGCCAATGTGTGTTGGGAGCAGTTGTTCGTGCTGTTGTTGTTGTTGTTGTTGTTGTTGTTGTTGTTGTTATGTCGTTGTCGTTGCCGTTGCGGTTCTGTCACTGTCGCCTTTTCCTCACATTTTCTAGCATATTATTTCATATTTTTTATTTCAACAATTTACGTTTCGCATTTTATAACTTGCAACTATTTTAATTTGTTTTATTTTTATTTGAATGTGACAGAAATTATTGTTAATGATATCAGCCAATATTATATATGTCTAGCCGACTGACGCCGCCGTTTTGTATATCGCATTTTAATGCTGCTCGTTCTTGTTGTGGTTGTTTTCGTTGACTTGCTCTGCTGCTTTATTTTTTTCTTTTTTTCAAATTTCTCCTGCACAGTGCTTGATAATGAAATCGAAATTGAAAACGAAAGCAAACAAATTAATTAATTACACGCCCCTCAGCATAGAAACACAAAAAATGAACAAAAAAAGAGAAAAGAAAAAACAAGGATATATATACGAGTATGTTATGAGCGATTGGGCCACAGACCTTGTCAGCCAGTCACAGACAAATATTTATGCATACAAGTATATACAGTCGATATTCTCTAAATAAAAATCTCCGCTGTAATGACTCAAACATAAGTATATATATACGTACATATATAGTATACATGCCTAACAAACACAAGATATTGCGAATATCAATGTAGAACATTAATTTTAACAAAACAATCAATATATATATTTTGGGATGCTTAAAAAATCGATTGGTATGTGAAAGTGGGAATATTCGGTCCTTTACGAGAACAAATATACAAATCAGACTAAATGCGGAGTAACTTAAAACAAAATGTTTGCTTAAAGTAATTATAGTTTTGAATATAAACTTTTATTTATATCGTCGGAGCAAAGAAAAGGGGGGTTTAAGTTATTCTTGCTTCGAAATATTTAACTGAATACGATAAGTAGCCCAAAAGAGTTGTCTATTACAGTTCACTATAAAGAGGTTCTACTGTACAAGCTGTTCCTTCATATCGAGCATTTTCGTGTCATATTTTCATTATTTATTATTAATACATAATATTATACGTTCGTCGCTGCTTTTTTAATTGCGCGCACACGTGCCGACAAAGTGGGCATGAATATTTATCTTGTATGCGGCTACTGCTGTTGTTAATGTCGATGTCGATGCCAATGATGATGATGTTGATGTTGATGAGGATGATGATATATGATTGTATGTTAAGGCAACCGGTCGTAAAGGGATTTGTTGCCATAGCAAAAGAAATTGCTCGCAAGTGTTGGCTGTTAAAAATGATGTTGGTTTTTCAAAATTCCCTCTGTGTGTATGCCTTGGCGCCGTCTGGGCAACAACTGGCTAAAAGGTTAGCGCCCACGCAATGCTGTGATTGGTCGACAGGATGCAGTCAGACAGGCAGGCAGGCAGACAGGCAGACAGACAGCCTCACGCACTCTTCACGCCCACATTGTGCGACGTTCACGCAAATATGTTGTTGTGGTTGGCAACATGTTGCCAAGAGCTCACAGCCTGCAACATGTTGAGTGTGCACGAAAGACGAAACGGCGCGCATGCGCCTAAGCCATCAGCCCAGTGCACCCCCCCCCCTCAATTGCGACATCCTTCACCTTAGAACTCTGCCAACTCAGAAGCACAGTTCGACGCGTTCGTCATCGCCCAAGCATCTCTGCACGCGACTCACGCACACATACCAGCACACAACCGCTCGCAGCAACAGCGACGCGCTCGTGAAAATTTTTCGCAAGTTTAAGCCAAAAGCAAAGAAGACGAAAACGGCGAAAACAACAAAAATGTCTCAGAGATTTGCCAGTAAAATGAAAATTTGCGCGTTGTCTGTCTGAGGCGGCCAAAACCGCTACCATGAAGCAAAGCAACACGAGCAGAGCCGAAGAGCCGAAGAGCCACGATTCCGATCCCCACACGAACACAACGAGGCAACTGTGTCTCTCGCGCATGCTTGGCTCGCTCAATTTTATTTTCTATTCGTTTCATTTTGCCTGCACGATCGAGCATTTGGTCTGGCCCGCCTGCCTGTCTGCCTGCCTCAGTGCTCACTGGCTGCGCTCTCTCCGTCTCTCTTTCTCTCTTTCTCTCTCGCTCGCTCGCTCGCTCGCTCTTGCATACAATTGCGCTCACGCTGCGCGTCCGACGTCGTCGCTTCGTTGTCGTCGTCGGCAGCATACGCTGTCATCGTCGTTTGCGCTTGTTGGGCTTTAGTTTATTTATTCAAGCGACCGATACCGTGTGTGGACATTATTTTCCGAAACGTTCGCAACCACACAACACCAACACCAACACGCACACAGACACCGTCATCGTCACAGTTACAGCCACACGCACACGTACGTACCATACATTGGCAGTGGCAGTGGCACTAACAAACATCGCCAACATCATCGGGCGGCCGCAGCAGCAGCAGCCGCAACAGCAACAGCAACATCAGGCACTCAGCTAGCCGCATATACACGGCCTGTACGCCCCGTGAGCTATCTAGTAGATAAAAACTCGCCGACAACGCCAACACGTTGTGGCCAAGTGCGGCAAAAATAAAAAAACAAAATCACAATATAACATTAAATTCTAAATGCAAACGCTAGTGCAGAAACAAATTTACACGAGTCTCTAACGAATAACTAAACGAGTGGCAAAGAAAGACTCTGGCTCTAAATATCTAAACATCTTATTCAAAAGTTCAACTAAGCCTGGTTGAGAACAAACTACAAACTACGCTTGTTTGTCTCGCGGCAACAAGCTATACGTATTCGCACACTTAAACACACACACACACACATACATACAAATATACACATTAATTCAAGCTCGTTTAAAAGCGCAAGAATTATTTACAATGCAAAAATTTCTATTTTGTTGCGAAGTTGCCGACAAATTTCAGCTTTTCAACGGCTCGATTGAAGCTAAATTTTAAGTAATGTTTGACCAAACAACAACAATACATAATTGAAGGCGCCGCAATAACAGCAACACAAGCTGCTGAAAATTAAAAAAAATTATATACAAGTATATAGAAAAAAACAGCAACAATAGCAACAGAAATTACGCGTGTGTTATCTAATCTGCAAAAACTGTCGTCGCGTTGTCGTCGCGCGTTTCAAACAAAAATAATAATAAAAAATAAAAGTTTATATCAATTTAATTTTTTTACAAGTGTTGTATCAATTTTTGTTCTGTTATTGTGCCAAACGTGTTTTAAATACAATACCTAAATACAATTACTAGGCAACGAATTTTATAAAGTGAGCAAACGAAAAATCAATTTCAAATCAAATTAATCAAAACGATGGCCAAGCTAAATACCAGGGAGGCCAATGCCTTGGCCACAGCAACGGGCACTGTGAACACAGCCACAGCGGCAGGAACAACACCAACAACAACGACAAAGTGCACCACAGCAGCAGAAGCAGCAGCAACAACCACACAAGGAGCCACAGTAACTATAACAACAGCATCAGCAGCAGCAGCAACAACAACAACAGCAACAGGAACGGCACCCACCAACAACATCACATATAAAAATGCGCCAGCAAGTCTTTGCTGCAATTTGCGTAACCTGCTCATCATCTGCCTGCTGTGCCTGTCCACCCTGGTGCTGACAGTTCAGGCGCGGCGCCATCCACCGCTCATGCTCGAGGAGGCCGACACTGGACGACGTACCAATAGACCAGCGGGTAAGTCAGCTTTTCCAAAGTCTATTACTCTATCAATGCGATTGACAGTCTTATTATAATTCCCATGCCATTTACTCGTACGCACTAGGACATATGCATTAGGCTTTTTATAAGATTTTAATAGTTTTCAAAATTGTATTTCACAAACAACGATCGCCAGAGTGATTTTGTTCTAAATGCCAATTCACAAAAAATCGATGTTAATGTGGGATCAAAGGACTGTAAGCGTTGATGGTTCAGGCTAGCGACATGCCTAATACATACTTGTAAATTCTATAGCTTTAGTTCTGAGCCAGCTATTTTTTTTTAAAACGTCAGTAGTTATATTAAATTTATTGCCACGCATCTTTACACTTGCTACATCAATTGAAAGTTAGGCAACACAAGCCTTTTCAAAGCCAGTTAAATGTTATAAAGATCTTATATCATTTATATGTAGCTGATTCGAGGATTATCAGACATATATAATTATGCTCTTCAATTCAATCTCAGCCAGCACAATGCAATTGACGCGATTTTCAAAACTACCAGAAGTTATTGTGTGTTTTTTTTTTTTGCAAGTCCTTTGTCAATCAATGATTAATGAAAGGCACTATTAATTAGTAGATGTACATATGTACATGGCTTATTTTGGGTTCAATGCTTAATATGCAAGCTTATACAACTATTTTGCAACGCAATAACAACTTGACTTTTTAAAACCCTTAACAGTTTATAACATTTTGTCGCCAGTTATTGCGCATACGCCGCGCATTACAAGGCAGAAGGTTCGGGCCCAAAAGGGGCGCACATGTTGCGCGCCTGCCGGAAATACCCAGTGCGCATATTTTATGGCTGTGCGAATTTTCCCGTCTTGGGAGCAGGTAGCTGCTTAGCTGCTGCGCTTGCGCTTGCGCTGCCCTCCTCGCACCCTTAATCCCACACACAGCCGGCCAAATTGTTTGACCTACCTTGGTGGGTTTTCCTCTTTTTGTTGCTGCTTCTGCCGCTTCTGTTGTGTTTTATGTTTATATGCTTTTTGGGCATTTCTAATCCGGAAAGCGGGAATTCCCATCCGTTTGGCCGCTCTCGGTGCACAGCACAGCAGAGCACAGCACAGGCAGACAAGGCGGCGACATTCTTGAGCCCTTCATGTTGCACACGCTTCCTGTGCCCCACACACACACACACGAATATGTAAATAGTATGCATTTCTATCTGCGTGGCTTAGCGCATTTCGAGGGTTTCCGTCTGCAGCTACTTCTCGTACTTCTCGTACTGTGTACTTAATGTATTATTGTTATTGTTTATGAAATGCATCTACAATGTAGCGCATTCTACTTGTTTGTTTCTATTTGTTTTTCGCGCTCTCTATCTGCCAGTCTCTTCTATTGCTTGTCCCTCATTTTACCTACACACACAGACACCCAAAATGAGGAATTTCTCTTTGTCTGCCGTTGCTTGTTGCCGTTAAGCGGCTTAAAAACGCATTCCCAGGTCCAACTGTTCCATGTAGCAGCAGCAGCAGCAACAGCAGCAGCTCCTCCGGTACAAAATCGCAGCTCAATTTGTTACAACTCACACGCTTGATTAGCTGCATTTCCTGTTCCAGGGGCCGTTGTCGCTGTTGCAAATAGTACTTGGCCTATACTTCACATACACATATGCACATACATATATAGATACATACATACATACATACGTATTTATATTGTACACATATTGCATTTACATTTTTCGTTTTTTATTATTTTTTATTTTCAATTAAAAACAGCTTGCGGTTATTTTTTCATCGACTTTGAGCTGTTTCTCGTTTTACACAATTACATATGTACGTACCGCTCTTTATATATTGTATATGAATGTATGTATAAGTATGTACGTATGTATGTATTTGCATTGCGATTTGTGAAATGCAATTTAAAGCAATAGTTTAGGTTTTAATTGCAAAAATCTGTGCTCTATATTCAAATCGAAAAAGTATGCTAATTTAGATCCCCCTTAAAAGTGCATTATACATAGTGCAATTGAAAGTTTTTCCATTTAATTTGCCATATAACCCCACTCCTAAGTTAACAAACAGCCTTGCTGATAGTTCACAAATGCTTCAAATGAAAACTGATTGATCTACGTGGGATGGATTATGGTTATTTGCGCTTCTGAGGCACTTGGATTCAACATCTATCATTATCTGCCCCATATTCGTCAGGTCCAATTCGTAATCACAGCACACATTTGCTCTACTGTCGCCGTTTCCACCCAACGACAACCAAAAATTAATAAGACCAACAACAACAGGCTGTCTTATTAAAAAACCTTAACATAATTTGATCGTTAGCCACCAACACGTTTATAACGCAAGCCCACAAATTTTGTTTTAATGAATGAAAAAAGGCACAGGCAGCCAACACATTATCAGCAGCAGCAGCAACAACAACAACACGAGCCGCCAATAGACATTCAACTCGTACCATGAGCCAACCGTTCTTTTTCGAGACCGACTCCAACACTGTTGTTATTGTTTTTTGGCTAATCAAACGTCAAAGACCACGCACTTTTCCACGCACAGACGCCAATGGACAAGCAATGGACATACATATAGACATTTCAACTACCGATTCGTTGTGTTTTGTATTTCATTTTTTCATTTTTTGTATTTATTTTTTATTTGTATTTTGTTGTGCTGTTTATTTTGTGTATTTAATTTTGCTGATTAACAAGCGGCCTCCCGTACTCCCGCTCCTCTGACCATGCGTAGCCAACATTTGAACACTCGTCAGCATAATTCATTTATTCAACTGCCTGTCTGCCGCTCGCGCCTGTCTAGCTGTCGCGCTATAAGTTTGTCTGCTTGTCTGCCGCCCAGTTAGGTGTTAAAAAGTTGTTAACTTATTTTTAATGAATGCGTGTAAAAGACAACAACAGCACCAGCAACAGCAACAGCAACATCAGTGGCAGTGGCAGCAAACGAAACATAGTAGGAAAGCAAAAATCAAGATGTGCCTACGCAAAGCAGCAAACGAGCCGCCGACGTATTCGTATATACTTGTATATATGTATGTATGTGTTTATGTGTCTGGCCGTCTATCTGTCCATCTATCTGTCCGTCTATCTGTCCATCTGTCGTTACGTCCGTCGACCAACTTACACACATCTTGCAAACATATCATGATCGGACAACGGCCCGTAAAACGTAAAAACAAACCAACAAAAAAAAACTAAAACAAAAAACAAAAAACAAAAACTAAAAACAAAAAGCACAGAAACAGACGCGACCACAAAATGAAAATGAGCAGAAATAATGAAAAATTAACAGAGGGGGACAGACAGACAATTAGAGAGATAGAGGGAGAGAGAGAGAGAGAGAGAGCTTGGATAAAAAACGTGTGTATGTTGGAGCTAACTTGGCCCAAGCCAAGCGCCTGTCAGACGCCAGCCAAGTTTTGCTTTTTTCGCCTGCACTGTAATTGTTGTTATTGTTGTTGTTGTTGGCGCGACAGCCTCCCAAAATGAGCAGCCGTCGTCGCGTCGCGTCGCGTTGTTGTTGCTGTCAGTGTCAGTTGCATGTCAATTCAGTCGGGGTCCAAAATGCAACCAATTTGCTTTTTGTTTGACTTTCGGGGCACCGTATCCAAAAACACAAAACACAAAACAGAAGAAAAAAAACTGTACAACAAATCAATGCATAGGCCTGGTCGAAATGCTTGCGAAACACACACACACACACACATACATCTAAATGTACATACATATAGTGTTCAGCCTTTTTTGGCTTGGAGACGAGGCGTCGCTTGCGTCTTCACCATCACCATCGCGACATCTCGCCATCCTCGCTCATAATCTGCAGCTTAAGCCCAACTTGCCGTGTGGGCAGAGGAAGCACTTAATGCCCACAAGGTGTCAAATTGCAGCAAAAAACCACCACAACAACAACAGCAGCAACATCGGCAACAAAAATACATTTTCAGACGCCCACCCAAACGAGTGGCGAAACCTGCTTGTTGTTGTAGATCATGGCGTAAATTAATTTGGCTTTTCATACTTTCAGGCTGTTTCTTTTTTTTTTTTTTTTGGTTTTTTTGTGTAGGCTTTGCAAGCCTCGTAGGTTTTCGGCAGTTGTTACTCGTTTCCGTTTTACCTACATGCACGCGAGTGTGTGTATGCGTGTCTGCGTGTGTTGGTGGCTCCATGAATGAAATTTTGAGACTCAACCAAACCTAACTGAATGAAACCAACTGCATAAGCTGACTGGAGCAGTTTATAACATTTTTTCATTCAATATTTGTTGTTTATTTGCTGAGTTTTTGCGTTGGCGCTGCGTCTGTTTTGTTTGACTTTGTTGCAGAGATGGGGAAAAGGCTTAACTTACTTGTAAATGGCACGCTGTTGTTGTTGCTTTACTTTTTTCTTGATGTGCAGTAAATTACTTGTATATTAAACACAACTTCCTTGCACAATCCGCAATTTTCTTGTGTGATGAAATGGGAAAACTTCAATTACTTTTGTCGTCTTTTAACAATTGCTTCTTCCACTTATCTTGTCCTCCACTGTTTTATTAAAAACTGTAACTCAATTTTGTCACGTGATTCACTCCAATTTGGATAAATCTAATGCTGGATGGATTCGAAAAGCGAGCCGGGGAATGTCGGCGGGTCTGCTAATTTTTGTTCGGAATTATAATTTTTAACAAATTTTTTATTGGCGCCGCTCGATCATGAGAATGGGGACGATAATGGTGATGGCTCATCATTTTTCTACACTTGTGGCGCTTTCATTAGCACGCTCATAAAGCTTGCAATTAAGCTAAGCAAAAAAGAAAAAAAGAAAAAAAAGAAACAAAGCAAACAAACAAACGACAGTTGTTGCTGCTGTTGTTGTTGTTGTAATTAAGCTCAAATAAGTGCGTGACCAATGTGGTTATGAGAAGGGCGAGAGGGGGGCATGGGCAGAGTATATACTATACGTGTAGATAGAGTAGATGTTGCTTCGTATATGCGTTTTGTAGATTTGTCTGCATACTT